ATCTATCTATCTATCTATCTATCTATCTATCTATCTATCTATCTATCTATCTATCTATCTATCTATCTATCTATCTATCAAAATACTCACTATAAATAAGGTCTTTTTGCCCCTCCTTTATGGTCTTAAGACTACACAAGTTTTTACATTTAAGCCTGATATTTACCAGAGATGTGTTCTATTTTATTACACAAGTAAGTTCAAATAAAACAACTGCCTTTCAGTTGAATGTGTACCATTTGCAGTGAAATGACACGAGAGTAAACATCTCACTTTCCCACTCGTCTAACTTCACTGGAACAAATAAATGAACCCACAGCATCTCACTTCCTGTCATCTCCACAATCATTCAGCACCACCACACCCATGGAGCTCCAGCATCTCCACTGTCATGGTGAATTCAAAGTTCATCCCCAACTTCTTTCCACGTGAGGCACATCTAACAGGCAGCTGCACATGCTTTTCTGCACAGACTGAAACACAGGTTGGACTGGGCTGAACTGCAGGCTGAACTACATGAACTACAGGCTCCACCACAGGCTGCTGCATGCAACAAAGCTGGACCCCAAAACAAGCATAAAAGAGCAACACATTCAAATGGTCTTTGTTTGAGACATGAGGATGTCATTTGCATAATAACATTTGATCAGTCTGGTAAATGAAGCAAATACATCTGTAAACACGTGATGAGCAAAAAGAGCTGCAATTAACGAGTTTTATTGAAAATGTTATTATTATTATTATTTTTTTTTTTTGCCTTTATTCTACCTGGATGCTGCAGGAGATCTCGGAGTCATCCAGTAACCGGATGGTGCAGAGGACCTCCTGGTCCAAGGAGCGGATGCTGGGGCTGCGGAACCGGAGCATTTTCATCCTCGTGTCGGTTCTGTTTCAGCTCCTCTGCTTGTCGGCGGCTCCGAGCGCAAACCAGACRGTGAAACGCGCGCATCCGCACCGCATCACACGTGCCCGTCGGGGGGTCCTGTCACCCCTTGAGACGCCCTTGGAAATGAATGGATGGATGAGGAGGATGGATGGATGGATGAGATAACGGATGGATGCGACAGAGATGAAGGAAGGGAGGAGGGCTTGAACCCGTCTGCTGTTGGTGTGGTTCGTTGTGATTACACTCCCCCACCCCCACCCCACTGACGGTTTTGAGGAAATAGGCTACACCAATGATGTAACGTAATAATCCTAAACTCCACCAATTTACATTTTCTTTCATCTGTGAGCTTCATGAACGCGTCATTTCATCATTATGATGTATAAATAAAGACTGACAAGCGTGAGGTTCAAATTGTGTTTTTCAGACATGGACCTCATAAATGTTGACAGATTAGTTTTTTTTTTCATAAAGTAATTTTAAAAAGCATTTCATGATCAAAACTCTTTCTGAATTAGGTTATTTGTCATCAATATTGACGTCAAAGATCGTTTGGATGCAACCAGATTGCCCAAATGTATGGAAGACCGGTGTAACATATAATCAAACAACATTTGTATTTTTGTTATACTAATTATTATTATTTTTATTTTTTTTACATTTTCCTCATCCTAAATTTTATTTAGAAAAAAATGACATTGCTTTGTTTTTTTACATGTAGTCTACCGGCTTTCAGCTCTTTATACACAAATGCACCTTTTATTTAGAATAAACTTTGTGGACATCTTTTTAGTAAGTATGTAAAAATTTATTCATAGAACGCCTTTCACAGAAATGGAATTCACAAGGTGCTGTACAATAATCATTAATGTAGAAAGAGTTGATTGGCAGCAGGTGCTGTACATCGAACACAGACAGAAAAACAGAAATACTTGACAATTACATTACAAATGATGAAATTCTGGTCAATACATACTCAAATTTTTGGAATTGTAGGGGGCATGAAATAACAATGATGGAGAAAAAAGTAATTGAGGTATATGCAATAAACAGGCTATTTTGATAGATAGAATATTTGTTAGGAAAACATTTGCATTTAAATATGTGCAATTCTGTTTTTTTTCCTCTTTGTTCCATGTCCAAATTTAATTTTAAATAAGTGTTTAAGTTTTATAATATCTGCACGTTTTGTTAATGATAATTATATACAGACGTAGATATCTCGGGGTCAAACAAAAATAATAATAATAATAAAATAAAGTAAAACTGTCCTCTGCTGAAAGCTATATCTTCTGATGAACAAGACAGATAATCAAAATATTTTCAAAGGCAAACCCTAAAATACTGAAAAAGAAAGGTTCAGT